AAAACTAGCGTTCAAAATCCAGCATCACCGTTTGGTGATGATTTTTTGTTGAATCTGTGTGTTATGTTTGGAGATAAACTTATATTCTTAGAGATGAAAGGGTAAATGATTTGCATGGATGTTGTTTGTTCGTGCATCAATTAACTCATCTAAATCCAGTATAAAATCAAAAATCAAACTAACTTACGTTATATATAAGTTGCATATTTAGATTTAAACAAATTAGATGGAAAAGGATAGATTATGTACTCATGCACTTTCAAGTGCTATTTGTTATAAAACTTCTCCGTTCTTCACATTTGATCTAAACCGATTTATGATTTGTTTAGTCTTTTACTAATGCATGCTGGTTTGAGATTGCTTCTCGTGCCCCTTGATTCCACTATTGTAATCCGAAAAGCATGGTCAGCTTTGAAATGTGGTTTGTATTATCATTGTAAAGTAATTTATTTGTTTAATGTCTGTTTAATGTCCGGATAAAATGTATGATTGTTCTTTCTGCACCAAGAGTGTGGGTGTTAGTTTACTCCACATTCAAAGCAATAACAGCAAAAGATCCAAATGAGCAACACACGTTTATTTTGACTCGATGAAAATATAGAATTTTACTTTGTGTAAATTACACGAATGGTCCCTATGGTTTGGGGTAATTTGTGCGTTTAGTCTCTAACTTATTTTTTTAACTCGCTTGGTCCTTATTGTTTGTTTTTGTTGTGTGCTTGATCCTTATTGTTTATATTTGTTACACATTTGGTCCCTGTCTTATTTAAAAAGATTATTATTTAAATAGGGAAAAATGAAGGGATAGGTAAGGTAAGGTGAATGTGTGTGTTTGAGGGTGTGTTTATTTAAATAAATTAAAAAATCAAGGCTAAAATAGTATTTTTAGATAAGACAGGAACCAAACGCGTAACAAAAACAAACAATAAGAATCTTCCGAATTACAAAAATAAGTTAGAGACTAACTGCGCAAATTAAACTACACCATAGGGACCATTCGTGTAATTTACTCTTTTACTTTTTATATTTTTAAAATTTACTACAAGTTATAGAGTCTATTTTTACTATGTTGTTAAATCTCGTGAATCTTGTTAATAACAAGATATTCAGATTAATTTTTTCATGTAAACATGACGTGTCATCCACCTTGCTCTCTCTACTTAATATGATTAACATCTTATCATTTTTATTATTAAATTATAAATATAAATTATGTAAAATATCAAAAAGGCAACATAACGCAAAACAGCCGAGTGAAGTAACCTAGTCATGTTAAGTGTTCACATCCTATTTTTTAGCATTCCTACTTTCCCAAAGAGAGATGGCTCCACACTCCATTCATTTCCCGCTAATACTTCCGAACAAGGGACCCCCCTCCCCTCACTTATGCCTCTGACTCACATGTAAATATACATGACTTTAAACTAAAATCTTTATGTCATGCTGCAATATGATTAATTTTTCAAGTGCTACTGCTGTTTAGTATTTACTACTGAATCTGTGGTTATTTATTAATTTATACCAACTACTGTCTTATTTTATACTTTATATTAAAAAGAGCATCAAACAAAAATACCATGTTGTAACTTGTAAGTTGTTGCAGTGTCTAAAGTAGCCCCTTTTTAAGGCAGCACTAGATCAGATGTATGCGCTCTTTCTTTACTGTATCAGTCGCTCAAAAAGTATCCTTTCAAAACACCACAAAATATCAGAGAACTACAATTTACAAAGATAGTTTTCTTTTGATTATTTTTACACCATATAATCACCAATTTCTCAATGAGCATACTATAAAATACTGTTCATCATAAAAATTAAAAAATCGTTTAATACGAAATTGGACTAATATTAATGTGGAGTTTATAACTTTTTTATTTTTATTTTTCGATATTTAAAAAAAGATGTGTTATTTTTTTTTTTACTACTAAAAAGACATCTTAAATAGGAGACGACAAAATTGCGTTGTCAAGGCACAGCGGGATCAATGCGATTAATGGTTAGTAAAAAAAGTCAATTTTGTTGTAAAAAAATTCGCAAAATTTGGCGTTTTTTTTATTTCTCCTATAAAAATATAAGTATCTCACATACATTTATTATTTATTATGATATAATAATGATATCTTTCTTATTATAAACATATCATTTCAATTTCCTGTATGTGCTTTTCATTAGTTATTTTTTAGACAACCTTAACTAAACTAGATGTGTTTCTAAAATCTAAAATTTGCTATTTTGACATTAGTTTTCTTTTCATTAAGCAATAATATTATACTAGTTAAAGCATAAGTATGTTTTGTCATTTTCTTGACCTTGATTCCCGTTGTGCATTTTCCCCTGTTTGATGGAAAATTCAACTCCACAAAGAAAAAGAAACGAAGCAAACAAAAAGAGACAACTCACTTCTCTACTCTCCTCTAGTCCTCTTCCCTAGTCCACTCCTCAAACGATGTGCGCCCTACCAAAACCCTTCCACCACCGCCACCGCTACCGCCACTATCTATTGTCTTTCTTTCTCCTCCTCACCGCCTCCATCACCGCCTCCGCCGTCGACCCAAAACCAGTGGAAGCGTTACTACCATCTGACGCCGTAGCTCTACTCAAGTTCAAGCTAAAAGCCGACATCGGAAACAAGCTCCTCTACAATCTCAACGAGCGATTTGATTACTGTCAATGGCAAGGTGCGAAATGTGTTCAAGGTCGAGTGGTTCGTTTCGTACTTCAAGGCTGCGGTCTCAGTGGTATCTTCGCCGACAATACCTTGACTCGACTAGACCAGCTCCGGGTGCTCAGCCTCCGGAACAACTCTCTCTCCGGCGTTATACCGGATTTGTCTCCTCTCACCAACCTCAAAACACTCTTCCTTGACCACAATGCTTTCTCCGGGACGTTCCCGCTGCCATTGGTCTCGCTTCATCGTCTCCGGTCACTTGATCTTGCTCGGAATAGCCTCGCCGGACCACTACCTATTGAACTGAACTCCTTAGACCGGCTCACCTACCTCCGGCTAGAATGGAACCGGTTCAATGGTTCTCTCCCGCCGCTCAACATAACCACTCTCGAAGTGTTTAACGTCTCCGGGAATAACCTCACCGGATCGATTCCAGTCACGCCTGCTCTCTCGAGATTCGATATTTCATCGTACTTGTTAAACCCTGGGCTCTGCGGGAAGATCCTTAACAAAATCTGCGACTCAAGGTCTCCGTTCTTCGATGACACTCCTCCAGGCGTTTCAGCTCCGGCGCCGCTACTTCAAAGCGTAGGGTCTCAAGGTCTGCTTGCTTCTCCGCCGTCTACGCGGAGGCACAGGAGAATCGGCATAATCCTAGGGTTTATAATCGGACTCCTAATCCTTATAGCGATTGTTCTTTTGCTTGTCACTATTGTGAATAAACGAAGGAATCGTCAACATCAAACGAAATCAGTTGACTACAGCTCAGATGAAGAAAACGAAACTGAAAACGAAATCGACAACCGAAACGTTAGCACATTTCATGCGATTTCAACCAACACAGCAAGCGAAGTGCGAATCGTTAGCAAGGAAGCCGAAATCAAAGAGAAGAAACTGGAATTACCTCAACACCACCGAGAGAAAAGCGGCAATTTGATATTCTGCGAAGGCGAATCAGCGATGTACAGTCTGGAACAACTCATGTCAGCATCGGCGGAGCTGCTAGGGAGAGGAGTGATCGGAACAACGTACAAGGCAGTCATGGATAATCAGCTGATCGTAACAGTGAAAAGACTCGACGCCGGGAAGACTGCAACAACGTCCGGTGAAGCTTTCGAGAGACATTTGGAAGCGGTTGGAGGACTCCGGCATCCTAATTTGGTTCCGGTGAGAGCTTATTTTCAGGCGAAACAAGAGAGGCTAGTCATCTACGATTATCAACCGAACGGGAGCCTCTACAACCTAATCCATGGTGAGTTTTTCACTTTTTCTTTCTCTGTTGTTGTGAACTCGGTGTTTAGTTACTTCGTGACTCACTGGGTTTGACTCGGTTAAACCGGAGCGTGTGTACTTTATTGAAAAAGGAGTGGCGTGGTTTTTTGATTTTGACTAGTCACTAAAATATGTTTAGTAAGCGTGAAGTCATCATGGTGATGCAATTCTGCCAAATAGTTATCTCTAGGTAGTGTTTGGTATTTGCCTATTTAGTACAGTTTCATTTACATTGAAATGAAAAAAACAAAACAAAACATTTTTTTTAACTAATTTCAAATATATTAAGATCACGCGCTAAATTATAATATATCAAATCTCAAAAACTAATTACTTGGCATTCGAAAAAACAGGATCAAGATCAACAAGAGCAAAACCACTTCATTGGACATCATGTTTAAAAATCGCGGAAGACATAGCTTTAGGTCTCGCATACATCCACCAAGCCTCACGTCTCATCCACAACAACCTAAAATCCTCAAACGTCTTACTCGGTTCCGACTTCGAAGCCTGTCTAACCGACTATTGCCTCCTAGTCCTCGCGGACCCCACTTCAATCGACGATTCCATTCCCACGGGCTACAAAGCTCCGGAATTGAGAAAGTCGTTCCACCGAGCGACAACGAAATCCGACGTCTACGCGTTTGGAGTCCTCTTGTTGGAGCTTTTATCCGGTAGGCCGCCGTCCCAACATCCACACCTTGTTCCGGATGACATGGCGGAATGGGTGAGAGCCATGAGGGAGAATGATGATGTGGCGGGTGATGATAGGCTCGGGATGCTTGTTGAGGTGGCGGGTGTTTGTAGCTTGACTTCACCGGAACAAAGGCCGGTTATGAGACAAGTGTTGAAGATGTTACAGGAGATTAAAGAGAGTGGGAGTATTGATAATGGTAATGACACTTATAAGGGATACTCATAGCATGAAGGAAATTTAAGAGGTAGGAGCTTCATGTTTTTTGATGTATAATGTGGTGTTGATTACTGGTTAGCTTGAGTTTATTCAATATGAAATGTTTGTAAAGATTAAGTACTGAAATTTGAAGCAAGAGATCAGATCCTACAGTTTGTTGTTATATACAAAAGATTGTTTCTAACAGAAAAATTGATGAATCACTTCACCAGTTATACTTTTTGTAAACTAGAAAGAGATTGACCTTGTGAAAATGAAAATACCTCAGTGTTTGTTCATCTTTACATGAAAAATATACAAAACCAAGTAGGAACCCTAATTATAGGAAATCCTACATCCCCATGGGTTAATTGGGTCATAGCTAATTCCTACAATATTTACATTCTAACACCTTTGAAGGTCGCAATTACTTTCTCTCGTGGGATGTTCTTCTAATTGGATTTAAACCCATCAAATGAAGGTCAACGATCATGTGGTTTGACCAAGTCTTGTAGATAGATCTTGACCTTTTAATGTCTCATCACTGTTTCTAATCTGATCAGTGCTTCCAAACAATTCCCCAAGCTTCCATGGTTTTTGCCACTTCCACTTAAACTGTATCAGCCATTCATCATGCCCTCGCCTCCACCTCGATACTTTCCCCTTCTGTTCTTCAAGTGGTGCTTTTTTCATCGACGTGTGTGCAATTGGTATCATCTGAATCAACAATTAGTAATATATTCATTCCATTAGAAAAGCCTAATGGAGCATACTTTTGTCATAATTAGTTATCGTGTTTGTTTTGTGGGTCCCATTTTGATGACATCAGAAAAAATTGGGGTGGGGATTGTAAAGTACATTTTGGTCCTTGAGTGTAAACGGTTTTTGCAATTTTGGTCCCAAAAGTTTTCTCTTTAAAAATAGAGATAAGGATTTGGCATAAAGTACATTTTGGTACCAATTTTTTTTTTTCACCTTTTCAGTTTGTTTATAAAGGACTTTGACTGGACGATTGCAGATTCCAGCATTAGAGTCGCTTTCCTTTGATTCAGGAAATGGTAATGGAGGTCCAATACCCATATCTGCAAATATATCCAACGTAGTTGGAGCCTTTCCCTGTTATAACCATCAAATAATTATAAAAAAAACAAAATAAAAATGAGGGATTCAAATTGTTTAGCCTAAAACTCAACTCAAATACACAAAAATTGAAGGTCAAATTACCGAAAAACCATTACATTATCATCTTTTTACCTAAAAAACCACTATATATATATATATATATATATATATATATATATATATATATATATATATATATATATATATATATATATATGAACAAGTAATCTTATTACCTTTAATGGAGGAAGCGAGGCGCTAGTAGCAGGTTGCTTCTCTGTTTCTCTTGATTTCCTTGTAGGTGTCTTGTCCCTTGTATTTTGTACAGGAGTATTTTGCACAGCTTGTTCTTCCATTTCTTTCCATTTTTTAGTTAATGAGCTTAGTTTTGCAGGTTGGATAGCGGTTGTTTGTGAAGAAGGATCACATTTATTGTTATTTTGTTGTGACAAAAGCTCCTCAAATTGGCTTTTCGTCTCCTTCAGATCAATTTCCTTTTCCCACAACCGGCGTCTGTAAGATGAAATAATTATATACAACACTACAAAAGTGTATATATATATATATATATATATATATATATATATATATATATATATATATATATATATATATATATATATTACCTTGCATCAATAACAATACTGAATAAGTACTGAAGCAAATCCTTAGCATCTCCTAAAGACACTAAGCCTTTCCAACGTCCCGGAGAGGCAACATCATGTCCTCGCCCAGCCTCTTGAATCTTTGAAGTTATGATGGCAAGGGAAGCCGTGCAGGATTTCACCCTGCTTTCAAGTGAAACAATTCTAGCTGCTTTTGCGTTTGGTGACAAGGAACGCGCTCTAGCTGCTTTTGCATTTGGTGATAATGAACGCCCTCTACAATATTCAACATTGTTATTCAATACTACTTGTTGTTATCTGTGTTAGTTAGTAGATATGTAGAGTTTTGGATTTTCTCTCCAAAAGAGCCCTTAAAGAGATAGACAGTGTGGACTTCAACACATATAGATACAGATAAGACTGTGTCTAGTTGATGTGGGACATAACATTCCCTGTGAGACAAGCTCGAGATTTTTATGTTTTTAGCCCATGCAGGTCTAGACGTAGGCTCTGATACCATGTTAGATTAGAGACTAAAGAGGGTAGACCTCAACATATATATGGATAAATGAGACTGTGTCTAGTTGATGTAGGACACCAACACACTTCTAGAGCCGGAAGCTTGATATTTTACAAATATCATGTTAGTTAGAGATGTGGAGTCATAGATTTTCTCTCGAAAAGAGAGAAGGTAGACTCCAAAATATATAGAGACAGATGAGACTGTGTCTAACCGATGTGGGACACTAACAATCTCTAAAAAGAAGGAAAAATGGAAATTAAAAAAATCGATAACAATTTCATATATACCTAGCGGGTTTGGTCTCCTCTGCGGAAGCTGAAGGCTTGGGTACATGAGAAGAAGGTTTATCCATTTGCTTAAGTAACGACAACTCCTCTTTAAGTTTTGCATTGCTGGATATGTAAAAAGAGAAATCGTTATGTGGCTCTGATACCATGTTAAATATACAGTGTCCTTAAATTTCTCCATATAAGAGGCTTTTAAGGACACAGGGGAGACTTCAACATATATAGAAATGATATATAGGGTAGCGTACGTACCTTTGAGTTTTCTTTTCATGATCGATACGTAGTTTATACACTTTCATGACCTTGTCAAGTTCAAGATGAAGCCATTTCTTTAAAGCTTTGATCTACAAAATGATATATATAATAACAGATCTTTTAAAACACCCTAGATTGAATAAAATACAACACATCCAATAGTGCTCGAAAAGCAAGAAAACATATAATCACCTGTCCAGATCGATTTTGTCCACTTGGTTTGGAGGCTAGAGAGAGAGAGAGAGGAAGAATGAAGTTAGTGAAAACTTAAAGAAATGGTGGAGAAAAGTTGAATCAAGATTATTACCTGCAGTTTCGCTTCGCCTTGCAGCCTTGCGCAATTCAAGCAACTCTTTTAGTTTTTTGGTAGCTCTTGCAGCTTCTTCTGTTTTCCTTTGAAGAACCTACAATGAAAATTATGGTTATTTGACTTCATAAGTTCTACAAGTTTGTTTTGTTGGAGTGAATGGAATGACAAAGGGTTTGGAATAAAAAAGGTAATGGAATGAGTGATTACATTCCATGATAAAATAAAGTTAAATCGTTACCTGTGTTTGGCGTTGATATAGAGCTTGCAACTTATGCCTTTCGATTTCAGTCTTCCTGCTCTCCTTTTTTATCTGATTAAAATAATACAAATAATATTTGAATTTTCTTAATAGTTTGTCATTAGATTAATGATATTACCTGCATCATTTGTTTCTCTTGAGAAGCCTTCCATTTTCGAAACTGCTCCTCTTCTTCTTTCACCTTCTGCTGTAGTTGAACCTGTAACCCAAAAAAAAAAAAAAAACATAAATTAAACATTCTGTCAACTTTATGAGAACAGAAGTGAGGAATTAAATTACCTTTTGCTTCTTAATAAGACTTATCTCATCTTGTAGTCGTTTCATTGCATCATGACTTTTTTGCCTTAAAACATCAACCTGTGCTTCGTGTTTTCTTTCCAATTCTGAAATCTACATATAGTTTTAATAAAACAATTTAGAAGTTGACTAAAAAGAAGTCCATTTCAGCACATATAATCTGGATCACAATCACAATCACCTTCTCCTCCATTGCTTCAAGTTTCTCTGTATTCATTGTTTGCTCATTTGATGTTGGCTCACTCATAGATTCAAGATGCGTAATTTCAGCTTGCAAATCATCTCTTTCTAGCTGCATTTACAGAAAAAACTATGGAGATGAAACTGATAGGGATCACAGATGAAAAGGTGAAGAAATCAAACCTGCAATAATCTTTTTTCTTCCTCGAGAGCTGTGATTTTCTTCCCAAATCGTTGTTCGAGTTCTTCCATGTCATCAGATCCAAGTTTCATCTCAGACTGCAAACAAGTCGGGATCTACTGAATGATAAGGAGACAGGATCAGTATGATTAACATGAAAACAAATGATTTACCACAAACAAAACATCACAATCAAACTACATGATTACAGAGTAAAAGTATTGTTGGTAAAACGGCCTCAAAGATCCCCAACAACCGTTGAACATCAATGATATGAAATTTGAACACAATTAAATATATTTGAAAGTATTTAATTTCATATTTCTTTTTATCTCTTGTTTTGGAGTGTATAGATGTGAGTTTAAGTTTGTGTGGGTGTGATTAGGGGTGGCTTGAGATATTAGTCTATGTGATTGTAATAATTTGTTGTATAATGAATTATTTTGTTTGGAAGTCGATGGGTTTTCTTCGGTTTTGTGGATTTTCATGTAGATTCTTGTGTTCAGTTTGCTTTATTATTTTTCATTAAATGGGTCGTTGGGAATCTCTGAAAGCCATACAATTTTCTAATAACGGATCTCATTTGGAGAACGTTTTTTAAATTCATAAAGTTAGTGAGTTCAAATTGGCACAAGGAATTAATTATCCTTGGAAAAAATGAATTTAATGCACAAGTTCTCAATTATAATAGGAGGAAGACAATTTCTGAGAAAACAGAAAGCAAAAAAGAAAGGAAATGCATAAGACAAGGCACCTCTTTCTGTTCCAAAGGTTTGTCCAAATTATTCGACTCTTGGTGCATCATATTCTGTTGAATTTCATGCTCGGGTTCTATTGTTTTTTTATCAGGTTCTTTCAACTTTTTGCTTGAAATATCATCACCTTAAATTCCAAAGAAAAAAAAAAAATCAAAATTAGTGAACCAAAGAGATTCCATGTAGACTCTTACTAAAAACTTACTTGTAACAGGTTCAGTGATTGCCTCTGGAGATTTTATGTATCGTGAGCCTCTTTTATCTTCCTGAGATAGAATCAAAAAGTAAAATAACATGATTTTATATATAAGAGTAAATTACTGAAATCGTCCCTGTGGTTTGGTCAAAATTAAACGTTTGGTCCTTAACTTTTTTTTTTGCACTCGGATCGTCTCTGTAGTTTGATTTTGTTGCGTTTTTCGTCCCTTACATACATAAAGTTAGGGACCAAACGTGCAATTTTGACAAAACCATTGGGACGAAAAATGAAACAAAATCAAACCATAGGGACGATCTGAGTGCAAAAAAAATGTTAGGGATCAAACGTGCAATTTTGACAAAGCTATAGGGATAAAAAAATGCAATAAAATCAAATCATAGGGACAATCTGAGTGCAAAAAGAAGTTAGGGACCAAACGTACAATTTTAACCAAACCATAGGAACGATTACAGTAATTTACTCTCTATATATATAAACAAAAATCTAACCATTATTAATTGATTATACGCATTGAAAGTGTAAATTAACATACTCGAGCATCTGTCTCAGAATGGCCCACAACAGCACATTTATTGCGGTATTCATTAATCTTTTGGAGAAGATCTGAGTTGGTAGCCTCTAGCCTTTCGATTTTTCTCTTAAGATCCTACAAGTAATTAGCACAAGAGACAATATGCAACTTATCATAATCCTTTTTTAATTTCTAATAATGTGTGTTATATAATATATGGTAATTATGAGATATTTGGAGTCCTAGATTTTCTCTCAAAACTAGCTCTTGAGGAGAGAGGTTAAACTTTAACATATATCGAGGTGGATGAGACTGTGTCTAGCTGATGTGGGATTTCAATAGTATCCCAAGAATATGAAATAGTACCTTCATTTCAATAATCTTTTCGAGAAGTTCAGTGTTGGTATTCTCTAGCCAATCAATTTTTCTCTTCAGATCCTACAAGCAAGTAGCACAAAAGACCGTATAAATATAGTTAATTACATTTTTGGTCCCTAAGTTTAGCCGATTTCGCAATTTTGGTCCTAGAAGGTTTTTTTCTTGCAATTTTGGTTCTTGTAACGTTTTTTTGTCCCAAAAAATAGTCATTTTACTTGGAACAAAGAAAAAACGTTATGAAAACCTCAAATAAGGACCAAACTGAAAAAAAGAAAAATATCTATATTCTCAGGGACCAAAGATGTAATTTACTCTATAGAATAATACCTGGACTTCAACAATTTCAGCTTCCCTCATGTGAGCAAGTTCCTCCTGCAACAACCTGTATTGTTGCCTCAACTTGTGTGTGTCAACAGGAAATACTTCTGTTTGAACCTGAAGAACATGAAAAATATATTTCATTAAAGTAAAATATAAAAGTACATATGTCAAAAAAAAAAAGTTAAGTGAAGAAAAAAAATATATTTTTTATACGTACGGACGCTTTATTTTGAATATTGCGAGCACGATTAGCGTACTTGAGAGTATTAAGAGTTTCCTCAAAATTAAAATCAGCAGGGCTGACACAAGCTAAAAATAAACAATGCTCAGTAATATAAATTATAAAATCACAAGATAACAGATTTTTAAAGTTAGGAAGATAAAGATACCTATCATAACAGTTTTGCAATTCCCACCAAGTGAAGCCTGTTAAATGCATATATCAATTCAACTCACTTCATAAAGTGGTATAACAAGACACATAAATATAGTTTAACCAAGTTTTTACTAGCATATATGAGTTGAATTTAACTATTCTATACAACATCTCTAATGTTTATAGGCTAAACTGAATGCAAGAAATAGCAATGTACGTTTTCCTTATTATAGCATTGTAGTTGTACATTACTTTTTCCTTTTTGTAACATTGTGCTTTCAAATTATTATTTATTAGGGCATTATACTTTGAAAATTCTACCCATTATAACAATGAAATTTAAGTTATTGGTTAAGGAAAAAAAAGTCCATTTATATTTATTACAATTATCCTCATGTTTATAATAAGGTTAATCTCATAAAAGACCTTATATTTTATGTTTTTTCCAGATTAAACCTCAAATTTATTTTTTACCTGAGAAAAACCTTGCATTTTTTCATTATTTTCCAATCTGACCCTTTTAGTCATTTTTTTCAAAAAAAAAAAGTAAAATGTGAGGATTTTTTCGAGAAAAACTAAAAAGGTTGATGTTTTATTTGGAAGCATTTAGAAGGTTGAGGGCTTTTTTTTAAAAAAAAAGAAAAAGAAAAAGAAATAGGGAAATCTACAGAAAAATCCCAAACTTTTGGGAAAAGTTTCAATAAAGTCCTACAAGTTTTTTTTTTGAACAGAAAAATCTCATTATTTTGAAAAAATCATATAATCCATCATTTACAGTTCAAATATAAAAAAAAAAAAAATTCGTTAATTTGGGCAAAATGTTGAATAATCGGGACTTTTCTGTTCAATTTTTTTTTAAGTCTTTATTGAAACTTTTCCCAAAAATTTGAGATTTTTCTACAGATTTCCCAAAAACATACAAATTTGAGGGATTTTTTGGAAAAAATATAAAAATATAAGGTTTTTTTTCAAGAAAAAAAATAAATTTGAAGTTTAATTACTAAATTGCCACAAACCTGTAACAACCGAGTAAGTTTACTATCTCGATAAGGGATATGTTGTGCTTCTTTCCGCTTTTTATCATCTCCTAGGGCACTAATAACATTCCCAAGTGCAAAAAGCCCCTTATTGATATGAACACCTATTCCAATAAACCAAGAGAGAGAGAGAGAGAGAGAAACAACTCCTATAAGCCTATAATCATCAATGAGAGTTTCAAATTGATCAACAAATACTCGATTAATTGTATATTATCACTAACCTTCTTTGAATCGAACTCCTTCAGTTGCTGATTTCTTAGCTCTTTCAGATCCCGCAAGATCCACCAAATGTAACTTTGCACATCGATACTCTTCACCCATGCAATCGATTGGATTTTCTTCACCTTTATTTTTATCCTTTTGTTCTAAAATTATGGTGAAGATTGCGTGGGAACGACTGTTGCAAATATTACCAAATGTGAAATTTGTAAAATTCATTAAAAAAAAAAAAAAGTAGTTTATATGTTATCTATTATAACTACTAATAAACTATAAACATATACAAAAAAGAAGATGATATTATTATCAAGTTTGAGCTTTAAAAGATATAATACATCAGTAGTTTAGAATTGAGTTTGTCTTTAAAATTCCAAAAACATTCAATATAGGTTTTTTTTCGTATGGATTGAAATAATGGGAGGTTTTAAACGATGAAGAAGTTAATATAGAATTTTTTTTTCAGTAAGATGCCTATAATATAGGTGATGCTTTTCTAACATTTTCATTATACTCTACTTTTTCCAATCAAACCATAAAAAGTAAATTACACGAATGGTCCTTATGGTTTGGGTTAATTTGCACGTTTGGTCTCTAACTTATTTTTTTAACTTGGAAGGTCATTACAGTTTGTTTTTGTTGCGCTTGGTCCTTGTTATACTTAAAAAATACTATTTGCCCTTGATTTTTTTAATTTATCTAAATAAGATGAAGTAGGTAAGGTAAAGTAAGGTGAAGTGGAAGTTGGGGGTGTGTTTATTTAAATAAATTAAAAAATAAATAGCAAAATAGTCTTGTTAGGTATAACAGGGACCAAGCGCGCTACAAAAACAAACTGTAGGGACCTTCCGAGTTAAAAAAAATAAGTTATGGACCAAACGTGTAAATTACCCCAAACCATAGGGATCATTCGTGTAATTTACTCAACCATAAATAACCATGCATTTTGACATGCTATAACAAGTCATAATGATTAATTTGGAAAATTATCGGTAAAAACCTTGATATAACATGTCAAAATGTTTAATTGTTACACTGCAAAACTGCACAAAAATGGAGACAGATTTAAGTTCACATGTATAAATTCACTTTCACAAATCACAACATCAATGGAGAGAAATTTGGTAAGAAAATTCAAAATCGTTATACCTTGATTGAGTGTTCATATCTGTTGAAGCAACTGATCTCTTCAAACATCCTTGCTCTAAGCAAGCTGTCATTTCCTTCTGTGTGCTAACACTAACTTCAGTTGATCCATTTAGGCTCTGAGCTCCATCTGCTGCTTTGCGAACTTGTACAGGTGGCTTTCCAGGAGCCACACTCTCAGGATTTCCATCACTTGTTTCTATTCTTTCAATAACAGCTGAATCCAATAAGTCCCTCACTTCTTCTTTTAAAATCTTAAAATTCAAACACACCCTCTTGTTAAAATCAATTGTAATTAACATCAAAACATCTGAAGGAATAGTAAATTAGACAATTAGTCATACCTCAATGAAGGAAACATGCAATTGGAATTCACTTTCGTTTTTCAGTGTCTCCATCTTGTTGAATATTGTTTGCATGATTTGAAAAATCAGTCCTTTGTGGGAGGTTTCTTTTGGATTGGTGCCCATTGTGTATGTCTTGCCTGAACCTGTCTGCAAACAATTGGTATATGAACTTCTAAGTTCTAACAAAAGATTTAAAAAAAACGTATTTCTTCTTAACAAAAAGTTTAAAAAGTACCTGACCATATGCAATAACTGTACTATTGTATCCTTGGAACAAAGCATCTAAGAGAGGCATGACACACTCTTCAAACATATTGATTGATGGAGAACCTCCTCCTCCATAAATATGATCAAATATAAACGAGTTTTTATCGATTAACACCTGCACTTGTAAAACCAAGCTTTTAAACCTTTTCAGTGGTATATATCAATTCTTATGTGAAGATTTGTTTTTGTGTTAAAAAAGGGACTTTTCTATTGATTACATTAATCGTTAACAAAAACTGTTAAAGTGGTAACATAGATTGTAAGGTCGCCTTGAATCTAACAGAGCATATCTACATATCTTCCTAGAATCCGGCAATCAGTTATGAAAATGGCAAAAAATCGAATTATGTTGAAATGATTGATATCCAGCGTTATATGAAGCGCGTTTTCATTCAATAAATTGCATAAATCGTACGAAAATCACTCGAATAAGATCATACGTTCCTCCATAATATGTATGGAATAACCAAAAAAAGCAATCTCCATTAGACGATTACATGTATTGAGCGCATATGGTTAATCGATTTACGAAAACCTAATTAAAAGCTGGAGATCAGCGACATTGATTTGTAGATATGTATTGAATCGATAGTTCCAATTTTGTGCTACATATAAACAAGGAATTGTCGTAATTGTGTGTGTGTACCTTAGCTGTCCCCGGAACGACGTCGAGACATTCTTTGCCGCCGTTTTGCCGCTCCAGGCGGCTGAGAGGGCGGATATGCAATGCGACCTTGACGTTGCAATTCTCCGATGAGTTCTCCATTATGGAGAAATTGAATCAAATGAAAAAGGAATTTCCTTTGATGATTTTGGCGGGTGTTCGTTATGGGTATTGTTTAATGGGGGTAGAAGAAAGGTATGTGAAAAGGGTAGATGAGTAATTTTTCATTATGCGAGCTCTTCTTTGTTGTGGTGCCATCAGGTATTGCGTTAACTTTCCAAAAGCATTGTAACTTTCCAAAGAGGTAACTTCCGATGCACATGCCGCTTGAATGACCCTGTCAATGTTGCAAAAATAAATTTTGGTAAAAATATTAAGAAACATAAATGGTTAAATTTAATTATATCTTTTAGATATATTAAATTAAAGATAACTATAAAACATTTGTTAAAACGAATAAATCTAATGTATTCTTAAACTAAATATGTCCCATATTGGATTTGAATTCCGGCTTAAAAAGGAAAACAACATAATCTATCGTAGTTATTTGTAGGATTAAAATTTTGAATCATATGAAAAAATAAAAATCCACTAACATAATAACTAATATAGTATGCAAATATGTTTTCAATAGTTTTCATATGAATAAAATTAAATAAAATTAAATATAATTAAATATAATTAACAATTTAATTTATAACTATTATACTTAATTAATTAATTTGAAAACTAAGTCACTTTTAATTTGGACCATAAGATTGTTTCCAATGTAATATAACTTTATATTTTATATGATTTTTAGTTAAATGTAATATTGATTTTTATGTTTTGTGTCATATTGTTATAGATAATCAATTTTAAAACTATTCATTTATTTTTTGAAAAATATCAATTAAAAAAGCTATTTACTCTTTTAGTTTTTCGTTTTAGATTATATATATATATATATATATATATATATATATATATATATATATATATATATATATATATATATATATATATATATATATATATAATTTTTTTAATGATGCTAATAAACAGTTGTATATGTTTTTAGTATATATGGGATTTAGATATAAATTTTACATTTCACATAATATTAAATTAACAAATTAAATATATTGCGTAGGAAATTTAAAAATTATACTATAGTGTGACATCCCTTAAATTTGATATCATGAAAAAGTTTTATGCTTATAAAATATTAATTTTTAGAGTAAATTACACGATTGATCCCTATGGTTTAGGGTAATTTGCAAGTTTGATCTCTATCTTATTTTTTTAACTCAAAAAGTCCTTAATGTTTGTTTTTGTTAGACGCTTGGTCCTTACTATTTATTTTTGTTACGCGCTTGGTCCCTGTCTTACCAAAAAAAACTATTATTTAAATAGAGAATAAATGGTGTCGTAGGTAAGGTAAGGTGAGGGGTGGGGTTGGGGTGTGTTTATTTAAATAAATTAAAAAATCAAGGGCAAAGTAGTATTTTTAGGCAAGACAAGGACCAAACGCGTAACAAAAACAAACGGTAGGGACCTTCCGAGTTAAAAAAATAAGTTAGGGACCAAACGTGCAAATTACCCTAAACCATATGGACCATTCGTGTAATTTACTCTTTGATTTTTTAGCTGTCTACTAGTATTCCGAAATTTAGAAAAATCATAACTTCCTCATACGATATACGAAGTCAGATTTTGATGTTCTTTTTATGAAAACTCTCGGTTTAACGAATACTACGACTTTCGTTTAGATCATTAAAGCTAAAAAGTAGTTTATCGAAAACTCACTGTTTATGCTAAATAGTGTTTGCCGGTTTTATCGCGGATCTTCGATTGTTCATAACTTCTTCGTTATAACTCGGATTTCAATGAGGTTTTCGCCTAAATGTTTCTAACGAGATTCTTTACAACTTTTAATAATAAAATTATACTTATTTCGAATTTTATATTTTCGTTAAATTTCAATATTTGACTTTTGTTCGGAATCTCATAAGACTTCTAAAACATTCTGAATGATTCTCAACATAGTTTTACTTCATTTCAAGTAAAAACTATCTGTTAGAACTCAATACTCAAATTCATATAATATTTCATAATATTATTCATTATAACAGTGGCGGGGCTTGAACTTTTGAGTTGGGGGCCGAAAGTATAATATGTATAAAACTTAAAGATCAGTGGGGGCACAGTAATTTTTTTTAGCTTTAGGCCAAATATGTAATTTTTTTAATACTAATGGACTAATTATAAAAAAAAAGGTGGGGGGGGGGGGGGGTAGGGGGCACAACCCCTACTATCTTATAAGATCTGTCCCTGCATTATGTTACAAGTGATATTTAACAAACAATTTTTTTATAATTTTACAAGTCAACTTAATTACGTTTTTTTAATGGGTGATTTAGATAAACCCTTTTATATAAGTTTATATATTTTAAAAGTTTTCAATTATTTTTTGCGGAACACTCATATACAAATAAAAGTTACAATCTCTAGCTTTGCTTATAATTTTGAGTTTCCAACTATCAACTACTAACTAGTTTTTCGAAACATACCCTACTCTTCAACAACAAAATCTGACTATGTAATCATTTATTCCATGGATCCTTGAAAATTTTAAATTGTTAAAAACCTAAACAGTAACATTTATGTGGTGAATAAAATGACAAATTCCTTAAATTGCACAAAACTTTACGTAATTAAAGTTTGAAGTACAATTGGTTAACCTATATCTCCCCATAAGAATTTTAATAACAAAAAGTTCGACAAGCAAAGTTTATGGGTTTCTTCATCTTAATCACGGGTAAAATATAAATTTAAGTCTACATTTTCTTGGTCAACATTCGTGTGCCATGCTTCCTTTATGCATGTAGGAGACACCCAACACTTAATTACCCAAAAGATTATTCTACAATATGATGGAAGGCATATTTACACAAATAAAGGATAACAAAATTTACAAAAGGGATCTACCTCCTTAATTACTAGTAGCCAGCGTAGCATTCGCTAGCTAATTGCTTTTGTCTTCTTCGTAACGAGCCCCTAAGCATCCAATGATGCCCTTGTTTCTAACCACCTCTAATTCATAGTCAATGGAACCCTAATTCGTGTGTGTGTGTGTGTATATATATATATATATATATATATATACACACACACACACGTCCGTGTAATACGTGATCAAAAGAGGAGATTGTGCGCATACGTTTTATTTAGAGCATACACAATGGTGAGTCAGTTGAATGAGGTGTCAAGACTATGTGTCATTCAATAGATAAAACTTTACCATTGTGAGATGTTATTATGACATTCAATAGATTTGGAGTTCAATGGTCATTGAAGTGTTCAATGGGAGAAAAGAAAGTTTTTAATTCATAAATATTTACTATAAACTACATTTTGTTACATTCTATTAAACTTTGTAGAGTTCAATGCACTGTAGGAAAAAAATGATAGAGTTGTAAGGATTGTAGAAAGATGATGTGACAGAGTTCAATGCATTGTGAATGCCCTTATGCAACATGGATTTGATTAAATGCAAATTTACAACATTAACCCCTAATCTTCTCTTCCTTGTTCCCTAATCATCCCCAATTCCGATCTCTTTCACAAATTCAATTTTCTAAAATTACCATCTAACCCTTCAAGTTTCCAAATTTCCATTTTGTATCCTTCTAATTAATTTAATTATATTAACTTCCCTCTATGATATTTAACACTTTTAAATTAATTTAAAGTATTATCTTCAGAAAAAGGCCCTATTATTTTGGTCTAGTTTATGGAAAAGTCTTAATTTTATTTTCTTGAATGAAAAAGTCTTGATTATTGGGGTTTATCTGATAATCTATCATTTATGTTAAAAAAAACATAAAGATTTTTCGGTTAATTTTGGAAAAATATTAGGTAATCGAGAATTTTTTGTTCAAAAATAAAAGTTTGGACTTTTCCATAAACTATATCAAAATAGTGAGATTTTTTTAAAGATAACACATGAATGTTTGAAATAACTACCTCTTTTGTAACATATGATTTCGAGAAGCTTCCTATTAAGGGATTTATGGACATTGATGGATCAAGTTAAGGCCCCAGACTTTAAGAGTATATTGGTAAAAGTGATGCTTCAGGCCTTTGATTGAATTTATGATTTAAGTTCGGATGATTTTAAGTTGAAAGAGATTAAATGATATTGTAAGGTTTCTCATTACCTTTCCACGCATATAAAGAACGCCGAAAACGAATTAGGGATGCAAAAATTTTGATCGTTAGAAGTTATGAAAATTTTGGGTTAAGCTGAGTACGTTGGGCGTACAGGGTGCACTAGCTAGGATTGATCGTGGAGGATAACCTGGTACGATGAGCGTACCAGGAGTACGCTGGGCGTATGCGAGCCAGACTTAAACCCTAATTTTAGGTCTTGGACCATATTTAAAGGCCTTGACTCATTTCCAAGCCTCCTTACCTTCAGCCTCCATCCTCTTAAGTTGTCTCCTTAAAACCCTAGCCTCATCTGAATGATTATTGAGCCTTTGAGTGATTATGGTGGGTTTGGAAGAAGAAGAACTCATTAAAAAAGTATTGGTTGTTTTGGAGCTTGTAGATACACGTATTGTTCACCTTGATCTATATTTTGGAGGTATAAAGTTTCAAACTCGATGGTTATTTGATGTAGATCTAGCCTTAGGTCATGATATGAGTATGTTTTGGTCCTATGCTCTGGATCTTGTGAGTAGAAGTTATTCCATAACACTTGAGCCCATTTTTAGTCATTTTTTAGGGCATTAAGCTATAAAAATCAGATATTGATGAGTATAATCCTTCCATGCATGAGTTGCTGTCTTTTGATGAAGTTGAGATTTTGGGATTTGGTTTGGTAACCATTAAGCCGTACAAAGTCATAAAGTCAAGAAATTTATGACTCGAGATGTCCCATATGAATCAGACCTAGAAGTTATACATGTTGTTTTAAGGCATTAAGGAGTTTGAAGTTGATTTTGGGCTTCAACGTCATACGTTAGGCGTACCAGGTTAGTATGTGGGACATATCAACCTAAATGGCTCTTGGGCCATTTTTGGGCCTTGAGTCATTTTGGGTTTGGGGCTTGCTTTGTTGGGCCAAGTATAGGAAGGTTAAATTATTCTTTTATCCACTGGTATGATAGATTATAACCCGTAGGTCGAAGGTACCAATGTCGGATCACTTGGATATGTTATATGCTAGTTGTCTTTGTGACTCTTGCATTGTATGTTGGGCTAGGCCCATCATATGTTAGGATAGACCCATGGTATGACATGTTAGGTCCATTTATATATTGGGTTGGGCCCATTGATTAGGAAGGGATAGGCCCATTATTATGGATTTGACCTAATGTGAGGGTTAGAACCAAGGTTATGTATGGTATGTTGTATTTTGGGGAACTCACTAAGCTTTGTGCTTATAATTTTATGGTTGTAGTTTCGGGTACTTCCAGTTCGAAAGGGAATGGCCGGATTTGATCGCAATGCATCTACCCATGTTTCTGCACTTTATGATTTTGGGATTGTACTTTGAGAACTATTTGTACTCTACCATACTTTTGAATGGTTGATAAGAGTGAATGATGTTTATGTTTTCAAATTAAAATGAAAATTTTACCTTATAATTTTTAGGATGTTACAAGTTGGTATCAGAGCCTTGGTTTGAGGGATTCGGGAACACTCTCGGGTGTGACTGAACTCAAACTGAGGAATTGGTAATATTTTGAAAGAAACAAAATTCTAAAAATATTTTTATAAAAAGGGATGTGTGAGGCATGCAATCAGCCGAGCTCAAGTAAGTAATTCTCAGAATACCCATATATGTTGATATGTTATATGATATAAATGTTTGCATGTTAGGATAAGGCTAAGGATACTTTTAGGAATTGCATGACAGATATGCTTGATATTTGATGCCTTGTAGCATAGGAAGCATTGGATGCTATGCTTGATTGGGAATATACATTTATTATTATTATTATTATTATTATTATTATTATTATTATTATTATTATTATTATTATTATTATTATTTTGAAATGACAAACTATCCTACTCCTAATCTAATCCTAAACACCATCTATGCTCCCTAGTGATGCTTGAACCCATGATCTCTCATTTAAGAGAGTTACTCCTTACCACTAGGATCATATAACCCCATAATGATTGATTTAGCTTTACTTCCTGTTCCTTATCTGGTTGTGGTCCTAGGGTAGAGTCTTTTGTTCGACAATCTAATTGATCATGTATTGTGTATAATTTTCATGCATAAGACAACTGACAATAAGAGTAGAAGATCCTAGAATGGTAGTAACAAGTGGGCTTGAGATGTGTTTTGATTGGTTTATGGCTTGGACTGCTACTGCACGAATGCTGCTTGCTTTGTCAGACTCTCGATGATGTGAGTTAGCTATTAAGTGAATATGTTAAGTCACATGCTGCAAAGGTTAAATCATCTCACAATGATTGATTTGACCCTACTACACAGGTTAAATACACAAATATTTTTTTAGCTTATTAGCTTTTTGAAAAGCTAAAAAGCTAATAAACTATTTTCAAAAGCTATCACAAACAACCACTTGATTACATTTAGCAATTTGATTTAAACGGAATTAAATCAATTAATAATTAACTATATAGGATTAACATAAAACAAATGAAGTTGTTTGGACTACAGCTGTAGATCTAAAAATAGTTAAGGGACAAAATTTGCATAAAAAATTTATCTTTTGCTAATTTATTTTAAATATTTATCACATAATCAAAATGACTACTCTCCCAAAAGCCCAAAAACCCCATTCAGTCTTCTTCACCCAGCTGCAGGAGTCGAGAGGCTGCAAATCTTTCGCACTCCATAAATTCTACACAGAGGGAAATCGATCGAAGCTGTGAATCATGTCGGGTGGAATAGCTCGTGGTCGTCTCACCGAGGAACGAAAAGCATGGCGGAAGAATCATCCTCATGTTCGTTCTATTCCTAACCCTAATCTATATTACACTAATCATTCACACACGCACCTTGCAGCTTTCGTTTCATTGATTTGATTTCATTTGGTTTAATGAACTAGGGCTTTGTTGCGAAGCCAGAATCTCTTCCCGATGGTACAGTTAATTTGATGGTTTGGCAGTGTACGATTCCTGGTAAGGTTGGGGTAAGTTATCACGATCTCTCACTTTTTTTTTGTAACTATCTTGTTGTAATTGCTACTATACTTCCTTAATTACTCGTTATCTTTCTAATAAACTTGAAACCCCTTGTTTCTGAAATTCTCTTTGAGGTTGTGTTTCATATCATTGTGCAGAAGCCAGACAGCCATTTCTTGTTTGTTAATCTTTCTTGCGGTTTAGAATATAGGGTTCTCTCAGTTTACTGTCGAATACGACATTGTTTACACAATTAATGTGATCTTAATCAGTTAGCTCTGGGGTTATACATCTCAGACTGCATTTATTAAGTCGTGTATTTTTCTAAACTGGATTTTTATCTATGATATAACTATTGGCATTTCAACTGAAAGATAGTTTATTATTGGGTAGGTTCCACAATTTGCATGTCTTATGAATTGATGCTACAACATTCTATCTTGCTATATGAAAAATGATTTTGTAAACATATAACACTTAAACTTCTGATATGATATCATTTTTGTATAGTTACTTCTCTAATAGAAGGAACAAACATATTCCTTTCAATTCAAGAGTCAATTTGATGAAAACAAGGCACCCTATTTATTTATTTGTTTATTGTGGGGATTGCAGACTGATTGGGAGGGAGGGTATTACCCCCTTGCTCTTCATTTCACAGAAGATTATCCAAGCAAGCCACCAAAGTGTAAATTCCCTCAAGGATTCTTCCACCCAAATGTTTACCCTTCTGGAACTGTTTGTCTTTCAATTCTTAATGAAGACAGTGTAAGAGCTTCCAATCCTTATTAATTATTATATATACAGAAGGTTAAATCTTTTTCAGTAAATTACATTATTAGTCCTTGAGTATAGTTGATTTTTTCAATTGTGGTCCCATAAAGTTTTCACTTGCAGTTATTGGTCCTTGTTTGAGCTTTTTGCGATGTTTTGATTTCTGTTTCAAGTAATATGACCGAATGATTTACATTTTTGGTTCTTGAGTATAGTTTGTTTTTCCAATTTGGTCCTTATTTGAGGTTTTTGTAATGTTTTTGGTCCCTGTTTCAAGTAATATGATCATGATTAAATTGCAGGTTTGGTCCTTTAGTATAGTTGATTCTTCAGTTTTGTTCCCAAAAAGTTTTCTCTTTCAGCTTGTGGTCCTTATTTTGAGGTTATTGTAAATTTGTAACATTTTGGCCCATGTTTCAAGTAATATGACTATGAGCAAGTTACAATTTTGGTCCCTAAGACCTATGTATAGTTGATTTTCACAATTTTGGGTTCTTATTTGAGGTTTTAGTAACATATTTGGTCCTTGTTTCATGTAAAATTTCTATATTTTTGGGACAAGCTTTGCAAAAATCATGTATGCCCAGGCCCCAGAGACCAAAAATACCCATTTCTTTTTTTGGAATATGTACAAAAAAAAAAACATCATAAGAACCTCATGTAGGTAGGACCAAAAATGCAAGTGAAGTTTTTGCAACTAAAATTGCAAAAATCAGTTACATATGGGGACCAAAAATGTAATTTACTCTATGATTATATTTTTGAGACTAAAATTGCAAAAATCAGCTATACTTAGGGACCAAAAATGTAAATTACTCTATGACTACATTTTTTGGACTAAAATCAGCTATACTTAGGGACCAAAAATGTAAATTACTCTATGACTATATTTTTTGGACTAAAATCAGCTATACTTAGGGACCAAAAATGTAAATTACTCTATGACTATATTTTTAGGACTAAAATTGCAAAAATCAGCTATACTTAGGGACCAAAAATGTAAATTACTCTATGACTTTATTTTTTGGACTAAAATTGCAAAAATCAACTATACTCAGGCCTCATGGACCAAAAGTAGTCATTAACATTATACTTGGAACATGGACATTAAAAATTACAAAAACCTCAAATAAGTACCAAAGTTGCAAGAGAAAACTTATTGGGACCAAAGTTGCAAAAATTAACTATACTCAGGGACCAAACATGTAATTTACTCAATCTTAATAATGATATTTGATGTGTATTTATCATTTTGTTTTATAGGGTTGGAGACCAGCAATAACAGTGAAACAAATCCTTGTTGGTATCCAGGATTTGTTGGATTCCCCCAACCCTGCTGATCCTGCTCAAACTGATGGATATCATCTCTTTATTCAGGTATTTTTTTTTTTTTTAATTGAAAAAATGGAATTTAATAATTTCATTTTCTAGTTAAACCTTTTTGTCACAATTATACATGTTACTAGTAGTTTCATACAAATGATGAAAGTATGAATTATGTGCAGGATGCTGTGGAGTACAAGAAAAGAGTTCGCCAGCAAGCAAAGCTGTATCCCCCACTTGTCTAAGATATTCAAATGCAATCAATCCGTGGTTACTTTTTGTTGATATTTTAATTTAATACAATATTGATTGGTTATGTATTTTGGATTAAAACATGTTTCATGGATTCTACTTTCTAAGTTACTATTTTTTAGTCGTATGAATGTGTTTGCAAAACCATATTTGGATCTTTACATGTAACCTTTAGACGCCCTTGAGTTCGGTTTAAAGACCAGACCGTTCTGAGACAAACAGACAGATCTTTTTAAAGACCGGATTGTAGTATCAGAAAAGACCGGAAGCCAAAGTTTATTTTATCTTTTATATTTATTTTTCTTTTGGTATCTCCTTTGCAATATATATATATATATATATATATATATATATATATATATATATATATATATATATATATATATATATTACTTATATTAATCTTCTTTGTTTATTTTTCTTTTGTTATCTTTGTTACACAATATGGGGATGTTTGGGATTGCTTTTCAAAATAGCTTATTGATTTTTTTTGAAAAGATAATAAGTCAAGAAAAGTGTTTGGCAAACTCAAAAGTATTTTTCACAATAGTTTTTTCATAAGTTTCAAAAAGCATTTTTTAATGAACATGTAAAATTTGATTTTTTAAAATTGTTTATTGTTTTTTAATCAAAATAATTTCAAAAAATATTTTTTAAGACATTTTTTAGTTTATTGATTTGTTGGTTTTTTCACCATAAAAACTGATTCAAACACTTTTTAAAAAACTTTTTTTACAACCATTATAAACCAATAAACACTTTTATTTAAAATCAATTTTAGAGTTCAAAAAGCACTCCCAAATGTATTCTTGGAACTTCGAACATATATTAAGCCCTTTACACCCAACATATTGTACGCATTGTACACTGAACATATCTGAACATATGCTATGCCCTGTGCGCTGAACATATGTGGTGTCTAGTGCACTGAACACAATTGGTATTATTGAAAACTAAGCATTATTTGTAAACAATTTTTTATACAAATTGTTTTGGTTAATTTAAAGAATATTTGTGTTTGCACATAACATAAAATCATAAAGCTTTTTGACTTATACTCGAGTAAAATAAAATCAAGCGGATGCAGCAAATCTTCTTTCTTGTGAGCTAACAAACAAATATGTTCTCGATATGGTGAGAGTGTAAGATGTTATCACCTATGTTGATCACAGTATCAAAGAACGAATAGCTTTTTTTCAACGCTTGGATGATTGATTCACTATGTTATGGGGACAGTGGTTATTTGTTTTATAGTTGTTTGTTTTCATGTATCTATGTTGTTCTTCTTTTGTATAATATGATAATTAATTAGATATTAAGTCAATAATCTCTTTGTAGTGTGTACTAGGAAATTTTATGCACTACATGACAAGTTGGCAACTATTTTGTTTGACCTAACTGGTTATTTTATTATAATAATAATAATAATTTTTTAATTTTTTTTGGCAAATGTAGGTTGTCAAGTTAAAACTTAGTTTCTTTGTTTTAAATAATCTATGAAACTCAATTATTTTTAGCAAATATAGGTTGTCGAATGTCGAGTTAAAATTTAGTTTCTTTGTTTTGAATAATCTATGAAACTCAACATTTAAAAACTTATTTGGAAGGTCAATATTTACACGGGCCATCACACATAGTTTATATAATACCTTATTTGTAAGGCCAATATTTACACGGGCCCATCGTTTATATAATATCTTATTTAAAATAAAATTTTAATTTAACATAAAAATAATTTTTATATAGTTAATAACAATAAGTTGATTATCTTCAACAACATATTCGCTTAGCATGCCATATAAGTTGTCAATCTATCTACGTAATAAGAGGACATTTTTTTTTTCCATTCATATATTTTTAAACAATTTACCAATACATTTAAACCAGTTAAAATCCAACATATAATCGTATCTAGTCGGAAAAACATATATGTCAATGTCAAAGTGTGAGGGCAGTTGGAAATCACTTCTGCCATTCCACATTATTAGTGCCTAGTTTGACTTTTTATGTCATTAAGATGACAATTAAGTCCCAATTTGTCAATCTCATTCACTCTCTATCCAAGGACATTATCTAAGATTACAAGATAACAAGAAGCACGACGGCAACTTGGACAATTAAGATAAGTGGGGACGACAGGTTTGCTCGTGTGTAAATAGATACACTTGATAGGTTTTAGGTTTATATGCATTGTATTATTATAAGAGTATCCACAAAAACAAAAGTTTTTGGTTAAGTTTTTTTCATGTCGTCTCAACAAAATATAAACTAAAAATATCTCCATATAGCTTTTTTAATTTACTTGAACTTATTGACCTTAAAAGCTCATATTAATGGATTGATTGTATCTGGCATCACCAAACCTTCTTCCACCCATGCATCTTTGTTTATGATACATACCACTGTTTTCATGAAAATCACTGGCACCACCAACTCCTCTCATGGCCTCATCCAATGTGAAGATTAAATACACCATCTCTAATGAGTGTTTAACTCTTGAATCAATTCATGACAAAGTAAAAATAATGAATACAAGATGTAAATAATTATGTTTAAGCTTATTATTGATCATGAATGTATGTTGGTTACAATAGGTAACATTGTCTTATGAACGTGTGAAAGACCGATCCAAACTAACCAAATATACATCATTATATATATATATATATATATATATATATATATATATATATATATATATATATATATATATATATATATATATATATATATATATATATAGGAATAGGATCAAATGAAAACACTAAAAAGGTTGAGAACGCGAGAACAAGTATATTCATTTGAGATTCCATGTATTCATTTGTGGATAAATGATAAATTTTTACGCCTTTAATTTCAATTGAAGAGAAAAAACGTATTCATGTTGATTGTGCGTAAAAATTTATTGTTTCTCCACAAATGAATACATGAAAATCACAAATGAATATACTTGTTCTCGCGTTCTCAACCTTTTAGGTGTTCTCATTTGATCTTTTCCCTATATATATATATATATATATATATATATATATATATATATATATATATATATATATATATATATAGAGAGAGAGAGAGAGAGAGAGAGATAAAGTGCTATCAACTGATCATCAAAAGATACATGGACTAAACGATGTCATATACAAATAATTCCATGTATGATAAAAAGATATTGTAACATCCTGAGATTTTGCAGGTATTTCCGAATCCTCTCTTCTATTATTATTTTGACATTTGTAGTCCCTGGGGTTAGAAGAGTCGACACATGAGGAGCCGAAGGACTAAAGTTGCAAATTTGAGAACAAGACTAGTATGCTAAGCGTACACAAGGTACACTAAGCGTACTAGGCGTGCCCTAGTATGCTGGGCGTACACTTGTGTACGCTAAGCATACTTGCGTCAGATGCAAACCCTAATATTTACGGTTTGAGTGCCATATAAACATCCTTATAAGGTCATAACCCTCCCTTACCTCAACCTCCATAGATTTGAGCCGTTTTCCCTAAACCCCAACCTCTTTTTTGACCGTGTGAGCTAAAAGAGTATGCTTTGAGTAGTTGCAGAAGAAGGTGTTGCATCAAGAAGTTGGAGAAGGAGGAAAATCTTGTAGATCTGAAGTTTCTTTGTGCTCTAGAAGCTCCAGAAGGTAAAAAGCTCCAAACTTTATGCTTGTATGATGTAGATATTGCCATGTTAGCTTTATGGAACCATTTCTTGTCCCCAAAGTCCTAAGTTGGTGCATGTTATGATTTGAACGAGATAAGTTGTCCTGTCAGACACTAGAAGGGGTCCTAAGTGATAAAAATGATGTTCTAATGGCTGAAAGTGTCCCATGCATGTAGTAGAAAGGTCTTAATTGGTTAAGACCATGTATTAGGAACTTTCTGGACATCCAAAGTCTTAAAGTTCAAGACTTTATGGTTCTAAGGCACTTTTGGTCGATGGATCTGGAGTTTGGACTTAAGTGCTTAAACCATTAAGCACTTATTAGGGTTTTGACAAAACCTCACGTACGTCCCACATAATTTCTGTACACCCATCGTACTGAGTCAACCACCCCGATGGTGGTCAACACAAAATGGAAGTACGTCCAGTGTACCAGAGGAGTACGCCTCACATACGCCCTCTGTTGGACTTTTAACGAATTGGGCTTCAGGGTTTGGGCCGCCTTTGGACTAATTGGACTTGGGCCTTGCTGGACTTTCTAAATAATTGAGTTTTGGGCCAATTTTGATAATGGATCCTAGAATAAGGCCTAATTAGGAAGTTGGGTCCAATTGGGAAAATTGGGCCATTAATAGGCTTTGGATATATGGACTTTTAAGATCATGGATTTGGCATTTGGGCCTTGGCCTAATATAGAGAAAAGACAAAATGGATTATGTGGACCCTTAGTCACGATTGATATCCCATGTATTGACCTAGTATTTGTTACTTTGGATAGTTCGAGATTTTCGGTGAGACAACGATCGGAGACTTTCAGTTCATTTCAGCACTACTTGTGATGTGAGTTATCCTCACTATACTAAGGGGTTAAAGGCACCAATGCCAGCTCATTAGATTTGATATCCCAATAGTTGATGATATGTTGAGTATGAGATAGTTATACATGCTAGTTTGCTATGCCAATTTGGTAGATCTGTAGGACTACCTGTGTTACTGTTTGATTATCTATATGTGTAATTAGCTGTATATATAGAAATGTTGTTGTTGGACTAGTGTCTATGTCCATAACTATATTTGGTATGTACTTGACCTGGTTGTAGCATGGTCCTTTTGGGTTGCCTTCACCGGAGCAACTTGACTGGATGATTAGTGGAGAAAGAGGATATTATGGTTTATTAATATATTATATGAATAATATATTAAAAGAGAAATCATATTGATTAATTAATATTGGTCAAAAATTAATTAAGAAATTAATTTTTTGATCAAAAGATATTAATTAAACTTAGGGGACTATGGATCATATGGATAAAGGGGTGGACGAAATTAGGGTAGAAGCCCACCTTGAAATCGTTCAAGGCCTTATTCCAGAAGTTTCCATTGGACTACTTAAGGCCTAAGCTATCCAATTAGGGTTTTGACTGAAACCCTAGCAGCTCCACTATATAAGGACCCCTAGGGCTTTAGAAATCGGCCACCAGAAACCCTAAGAATTCTTAAAACCGATTTTAAGCCTCTC